ACTGGCAGATTTTGGAGTCTTTGGTGGGGCCTGGAGCGAATCCCCCACAGATACCGAGGAATGACTGGATGTAATGTTAGGATTCTTTTTAAGTTATCAAGTCAAACCTCTTGGACAGAGTGTTTGTTTTAAACAAGCGGAACAATATCCTCCATCTCGTTCTGCAACATTCTTTTTTTTTTTTTTTTTTTCTGTTAGCAACATGTTTTGGAGAACTTTCATAAGTCTAACAGTTCAAGGGAGATATATCATTAGGAAACATTTGGCACGGAGGAAATTCAGCAAAGTTCAAGGCTGGCTTGGTGCCCCACACCGTGTGTGACTCTCTCAGATCACAGGGTACGCGTATCGGCTGGTTCAAATGTACAGATAAACTCGGTACTGATATCCACACATATCAGAGGGCGGATTGCACAGGGAGGAGCCCAGAGCAGCGTGGCATGTTCGAGAGGTGAGAGGGCATGTCCTTGGCATCTCATTACAACACCCAGGTCGCCGGGGTTTTCAAACGTGACACAGAGATTAAAATAAGAAACAAGCGGTCCCAGACATTCCAGCAAAAAGTGCTACCATGTAGTGGAATGAGCACTCTAGAGCGACCAAAAAGTTTCGGAAGGGGTGAGCCAGTCCATTTGATTATCCAACAGTTGGAAGAGTGAGTCATCACATGAGTTATATAATCACATGAGGGGATCGTCAGAGCTCACACCTTTCTTTTCATGTCACAAGACGACCCAGCTTCTCTCTTATCATCTTCTTCTCCCCTTTGCTTTCAGCCAAACTCAGTTCTCAATAATAAAATGTATTCATTGAGCACTTACTAAATGCCCTGCTCTGTGCCGAGCATTTACAAACATTTAATGCTCACAGTAACCCAGGGGTCCTCAGACTTTTAAACAGGGGGCCAGTTCACTGTCCCTCAGACCGGTGGAGAGTGCGGTGCACATTCCACACATGCGCACTGTGGGCCCGGGACGAGAGTGGGCTGCTAAGCAGGACAGGCAGCGAAGGCAAAAACACCCCAGGGGGCCAGATAAATGTCCTTGGTGGGCGTAGCCTGCGAGCTGTAGTTTGAGGACGCCTGCAGTAACCCTAAGAGATAGGAAATATTCATCTGCAATTCACACCATGTTACAGATGAGACAACTGAGACCCAGTAACTTGTACAGAGCCACATGTCCCCTTTGGCCACCTTCCTACTCCGTCCTCCTGCCTTTATCAAGTGGACTCGTCCCCCCTCTGCCTCCAAGGGAACATCTCATCTCTCGGATCCTCACATTCTGAAGCTCGCCTCTCCCACGCCACTAAAAGTGTCCTCTCCAGGGTCCTAGGGTTATGCTAACCACCTAAGTCAGGAAGCTGGTCCTGGCTTTCTTAGTTTTGCCCTCTCTGCAGTTCCTTTTCCTGAAATCTCCTCTTTTCTTGGCTTTTGCAATACTGTGCCCGGCACTGGGTCTCTGCCCTGTTTGCTGACTGTGCTCCCTTCCTGCCCCACCCCCAAATGTGGGACATGTCCCAGGTTCCAGTCCGGAGCTGTCCACTGGTCTCCCTCCTTTGGTACCTGTCTGCTCCCACACCCAATCCTGCCAACTCTGTGGCTGGCTCAACTCCGGGGTCTGCCTCCCACCCGTCTATTAGATGTTTCCACATCATCTCAACCCCAGGCTGTCTGAGAACAGGCATCTATAACCACCCGTGGGTGACACACCCTGCTCAAGTCCCTTTGCCTCTGAATCCCACAGTGGACGATTCCAGCAAGAGACCGCTTCCTGCCTCAGCCATCTGGGACTCTTGTTTTTTCTTTCTTTTCTTTTTCTTGCTTGTTGCAGTCCTTTGCAAGAGCATCTCAGAAGTGCTGGGGGTCTAATCCCTGTAAGGATAACCCTCGAGCAGTGAAGGAAGGGGGTCATTGGATAAATCGTCCATCCTTTCATCCGGCAATTCTGAAGTTTATTTTATCCAGTTGTTTGGAGGGTCTGCGCTGAGACTCAGCCTCGTATGCCCACAGCATAACTCCCATTAACCCAGCATGTACTGACTTTCCTCCCTCCCAGTTCCCTCTCCTTGTTTTTCCAAAGATAAACTCACAAATCAGTTATACACAAATGCTTCTCGGCTTCAGGAAGAGTCCAAAATAAGACATCACCCACAGATCAATTCTTCTTGCTGAAGTCTTTGCTCATGCCTACGATTCTCTAAGTCTCCCAGGCATCAAGGTTGAAAGCTTAGAAACTTGTTTTATTCTTTGCTGTATGCCTTCCACCCTGCTGAGTCTTTCTGAGTCATGCTTTGAAATGTCTTGTATGTCCATTATTCCATTCTTTCCAGCCTAGTCTGGTCCTTATAACATTCCACCATGACAATCTCCCACCACCACCACCACCATTGCTCACACCATTGCGTTGGTCAGGAATGCTCTTCTAACTTTGCTGGGCTTGTCCTTAGTGACTGCCACCTCTGTGTCCTACCTCGTGCCAGGATGTCCTTCAGGCTCCTCTGGGATGGTCTTCCCTACCACCTGGTCCCAGGGACGGCTCTCTTTTCAGTACTTCCTTTTACACTGCACTCCACTCACTCATTTGACATTATGAACATGCACCACCTAAGTCATGCACCACCACAGAGTTGGCAGGATGGGGTGTGCGAGCAGACAGGTACCAAAGGAGGGAGACCCCAGTGGACAGCTCCGGACTGGAGCCTGGGACATGTCCCACATTTGGGGGTGGGGCAGGAAGGGAGCACAGTCAGTAAACAGGGCAGAGACCCAGTGCCGGGCACAGTATTGCAAAAGCCAAGAAAAGAGGAGATTTCAGGAAAAGGAACTGCAGAGAGGGTAAAACTAAGAAAGCCAGAACCAGCTTCCTGACTTAGGTGGTTATTTAGATGTGTGCATTTCTGGCTCCTCTACTAAATTTTAAGTGTCCTGGGATCAAGGAGTATATCATATGCTTGCTTGCTTGCTTTTCTTCCCCTTATTAAGAGCTCCATTGACTTTGGCTGGTTTAGTTTGACTGGCAAGGTTATACTGCTAGCAAAATAAATGCAGGTAACTGGTGCTTTCGTAAACTTACTCGTTCTCCACACCGTACGTACCTAAGCTATAGACGTCTCACTCACAAAACTCCACCCGAAAGCTTGATATTACAGCAGGTTGCTCAAGCTGGTGGAATTAATCAGCTCGCATCTCCATGGCAACGTCATTCTACTAATCAGTACAGTTTGACAGTTTGTGGCATCGTGACAGATAGGATAAGAGTCGGTGGTGTTATCACATACGAAAAGGATAGTGTCTGTCCTACATACAGGTGCCATGAAGACTGTACAGTCACTAGCTTTCCGTCTCTAGATTGAACAATGGTGACATTCATTCAGTCATTCAACAAACATCTAATTGACACCAGGCAAGCACCAGACACTACGGAAGGCACTGGAGATCTGAGGACAAAGATGAGAGTCGGGTCTTTTTCTTGGTGGGGGAGCTGGATGAAATAAGTGAATGACTACAATGAATAACTGCAGAGCATGCTAAGAATAAGGAAAGACACACACCTGAGCTATCAGTGAAGGGGAAAGGCTCTGACTTGGAAAGCTTCTGGAGGAAGGGGCCAGTTACAAACCTGATCAAAGCTAAATCGACCCTCGGTGGCGCCCACACACGGGTACATCCGACACGGCGTGTGAGCAACTCGTCTGGCCAAAGCCTTGCCGGGGGAGGCGGGCTTGACTTTGGCCTCAAAAGCAGATGCAGAAGTCTGGAGACAGGGCGATGTGGAGGTGGCAGGGTTGAAGGCTGGGGAGTGGAAAGGGAGCGCCTGCCACTTCCTTGGGGGTGGTGGGTTGAAAAATCGAGAAAAGCAAAGCTACACTCTTCTGCTGGAGCAGCGGTTCCCGACCTTTTTGACACCAGGGACTCATCTGGTGGAAGACGGCTTTTCTGTGCATGGGGTGGGGGTGGGGCGTTGCCGCCGCCTCGGCTCCATCTCAGATCCTCAGGCGTTGGATTCTTGGGGGTGGGGCGCGAGCAACGTGGACCCCCCCGCATGTGCAGTTTGCAGTGCAGGTCGCTCTACAGTGATGGTCTGCTGCTCCCACGGACCTGACGGGGGCGGGCCTGAGGGCGTTCCCACGGTGACGTGAGCCGTGGGGAGTGGCCGCAGGTGCAGGGGGACTTCACTAGCCTCCCGCTACATGGACCAATGCCAGTCTGTGGCCCCGTGGTTGGGAGCCGCAGTGCTAGAGGACGGTCAGAACAAGTGTAACGCGGTCGTCTCGTGTCCAGGGGAAACGTGGCAGCCAGCTCTGGGGCGGCTCAACCGAGCGCGCACATTTTCCCCTGGGAGTGAGTGGAGTGTCTCCAGAAAGCCCCAGACAGCCAGGAGTCCCAGCGCCAGTTACAGAGAAAGGGGCCCCATCTAGAATGCACCTTGTCCCTTTCACAGAACTGGCAAGATCAAACGTGGCAACGCATAAAGGGGGCACGGTGTGTGTGGGATCAGGGCTGGGCACTTCCACAGGCTCCTTGGGGCGGGCAGGGAGGGAGAGCTGGAGGCCCTGCCCGGATTTTGCAAGAGGCTTCGGAATGCAAATATGCCCAAAGACATCAGTTCAGGCATTCGCCTCCCGTGCCCTCCCTCCTCCCTCCCTCGGTCATTTCTTCCTTTCCAGGGAGCAGTTCTGGGAAACTGCCTCGCCCCACCCCACTCCTACTGCCCCTGTAAGGAGGAGACGCACACGGGCGCTCCCCGCGGAACACTGAAGCTTTGTTTGCTGGAGGCTCTGAGATCAGCCTCTTCAGGACCGCACCCTGCACTGAAAGTCCTATCTCCTGCTCCCTCTTCACCAGGAGCTTGGGGGGCCAGGAGGGGAAAGGGGGAGAGAGTGGCAGAAAGGAGGGGTGGCTGCTAATGGCCTGCGAGCACACCCACACCTGTCCCCCAACCCCAGTGAGGCGGGATCCGTTATCACCCTACCCCCCTTACAGATGAGGAAATTGGCTTGGAGATATGGAAAATTTTGACCCAGGTCATGTGGTGGGTAGAAGCCTGAATGGGCTTTGCACCCCGGTTATTCCACATGTACACCTGCCTCCCCGCACATGCCGCTGCAGAGATGGTTCTCTGTTGAAGGCATCCCAGCCGGAAGGAAAGAGGAGGTTCAGATTCAAGTTCTGGGTCATTCTTCAATTAGCAAAGTGTGGGTTTCCTCTGGGAAAATGAGGGGCTGTCCTCACATACAAGTCTCTGATGGGGCTGCAAGCCATTGTCCATGGGCTCTGTAGAAAAGGCACAGCTGACAAGATAGAATAACAAATCATCACATTGTCATTCAATTATTCACTCATTCATTCGATTAAATAGTTGAGAGGCTTCTAGATGTTGAGCCCAAGGCGGGGAGAAATGACAAGAATATGATCCTTCAGCCTAGAAGAAAAGGGAAGGTCCTTGGGGAATCCATTTAATACTTTCATTTTGCAGAGGTAGAAAGTGAGGCCCAGAGAGGGCAGGCAACCCACCCAAGGTCACACAGCACGGCTGCAGTAACCACAAAGTCCTAGGGTAGCTCACCCAACAGTGGGGCCTATCAGTGGTCCAGGCTATCCGAAGAAGGTAGGAAATGCCACTCGGTTCAACCTAACAGTCCTGTTCTATATCAACTAAGCCCAGAAACTAAAACCGGCTTGCAGGTTTTATGGGTCTCCCTGAGAAGAGGAATCAGCCACTGGTCTCGTGGCAGAAATCAGCCACCCTGCAGATGCCCCATGGAGACGACAAGCCCTGATTTGCTGCTACACTTTGGCGAGGCTACGTCCTGGGCCCGACACTAAAGACATCCCTTCCCCCAGACCAAGTTTCCATCGATATTCACCCAACACCTGAAGTTCTGATGCCGGGAAGCTGCACCTCCGTAGATCTTCAAGCGAATCTGTCGTATCACAGGTGAGATTTTCTATCCAAAGAAAATGAGACTGTAGTCTGATCCCCCAGGACCTGGTGGGTATCCCAGGGACAGACCCTCCCACCCTACAGATCAGCGCCTGTCGTCCCCACCTGGCCGAGACGCCCCCAGGTAGGAAGCTGCAGAAAATTAAGGGAGGAAATGCCAGGGCCGTGGAAGGTGCTGGAAGAGTTGCCACCCACCTGTCTTTGAGAGCTGAGGCCAAGCCACAGCTGACGGCCTCAGAGGCCGTGCTGGGTGGGCACAGGGCCGCACCTGGCAGAAACCCAGCCGCCTGCCAGGGCGATGCCTGAATCCTCGGGGGAGTCGCCGTGTAAATCTGACCCACGACAGCGTGTAACTCACCAGGGACAAAGTTTAAATACGAGCCTTGATTCTCTCATTAATAAACACAGCGGTTCCCCTTGGAGAGACTGAGTCTAGCCACTCCATAAACCAGAAAGAAAAAGACCTTGAAAGGCAAATCGTTTTTCAGGCTGACCCTGATCCAGCTCAGCGGAGAGGGAGTCATAAAATGCCTCCAGAGCCATTTGTGTTGACAGGCCAGGGACTCTTCAGGGACATGGGACTCAGTGCCCGCCGAAGGGATTTTGTCTCTAAGGAGCCACGGGCTGGAAAGCTCAGGCTGCTCTGCTGCCCCACGCCCAGCGGGGCTTTAAGGAAGATGGAGCCTGCGTGAGGTTTAGAAAGATTGCTTAGAATGGGAGGGGAAGCGAGAAAAGGAGGCAGAAACTACCATTCCTGCTCTTCAGAGGTGCCAATGGGGCAACCCCTCGTGCCTGGAACACCCTGCTGCCCCCGATCTTCTTCGAGTAACTGGCTCATTCACACCGCGCAGCCCTCTGCCCGAATGTCACCTCCTCGGAAGAGCCCTCTCCAGCCATCTGCCAGGCGCCTCCCACTCCCTGTCATCCCTACCGCAGCGCTCTGCAAACTGGATGTGGGAGACACAGCCCCAGCTCTCGTGTCTTAATGAGAAGAGCCCCCCACTAAGTGTGAGAAGAGACCTCCCACCAAGTAACGCTCCCCACCCCCTCGTCCTCAGAGCAAGTGAACGATCGGCGGGTGAGAGCCAGGGGTCTAGGTTTCTTGAGTGGGAGCCGCCAATTCGCTTAAAGGCTATCAGGATCGCACACTGAGTCTCAGAAGTAGTCCTGTTCTGCCAGATCCAAACTTCCCCTGGAAAGATTGTGCCAAGAGCTAGACTGGAAGGAGGAAGGGAGAACTCAGGTGAGCCCACCTGGTCCCAAGCTAGTCAGGTCCTCCAACCCAGCTCTGATCATGCTCAATCTGACCTCGGAGCTGCACCTGTCTGACTGCTGTGTCCGTCTCCCAGTCGGCTTAGAATTGGACAGGCCCTCCTTAAATTCTTTCCACAGGTTTGTTTATTTTGACCTCTCTCCCATTAGAATGGAACCACCAGAATCTTTGGTCTTGCTCACCTCTGTAACCCTAGTCTCTAGAAGGGTCTCCAGCAGCTAGTAGGTGTTTATCAGACATTGACAGAGCAAAGAGATAATCACTATTAAGGATCTACTATATGCTAAGCATGTGACAAGTGTCTCACCATACCCCCTCAACACCCTTTGTGGATGATGTGATTAAACCCATTTTGCAGATGGAGAAAGTGGGATTCAGAGACACAGAGTGAACTGCCCACAGTCACACAGTTGGTGAGCATAAAGCCAGGCTCCGAGGAGCAGGGCACTGACATTCTGTGTTTTCATCACTTGAAACTGCGCTGCAGGTTCAACACTGTCGGCAGCTGTCATTTCAAATGGAAAGAGCAACTCTTCAATTATTTTATTTGACAAATTGGCTTTTAACCTACCTATTTTCAAAAAGCATCCAAGTCAAGAAGAAATAGTATATCCAAATGGACCTATAACAAGTAAAAAGAAATTGAATTAGTTACAAAAAAAAAAAAAAAACCAACCCAAAAAACAAAAAAGAAAACCCTTCACATGCAGAGGAGCCCAGGACCAGATGAGTAGCACTTCATGGATGAGTGCTACTAAACATTGAAGGAGGAATTAACACTAATCCTTTACAAGCTCTTGCAAAAAACAGAAGAGGAGGGATCACTTCCCAATTCATTCTATGAGGCCAGTATTAGCCTGAAACTAAAACAAGACAAAGACGTCACAAGAAAGGAAAATTACAGAGCAACACCCCTTATGACTAGATGCAAAAAATTCTCAACGAAATACTAGAATATTCAATCCACCCACATATAAAAAGATCATACATCATAACCAAGTGAAATTTATCCCAAGAATGCAAAGTTGGTTTAACATGTAAAAATCAATGTAATACACCATATTACTCGAGTAAAGAATAAAGCCACATTATCCTCTTAATTGACACAGAAAACACACTTGGCAAAATCCAATGCCTTTTCCTAATAAAAAACACTCAACAAACTAGGAATGCAAGGGGACTTCCTCCACCTGGCATGGGGCATCCATAAAAAAACCACAACTAATATAACACTTAATGATGAAAGACTACATGGCTTCTTGTCCGGAATAAGACAAGGATGTCCACTGTCACCACTTCTACTCAACGTTGTAGTGGAGGTTCTAGCCAGAGCAATCAGACAAGAAAAGTAAATAAAGGCATGTCCAGCTTGGAAAAGAGAAGCACAACTATCTCTACGTGAAGATGACGTGAAGATAACAAGTGTCGGTGGGGATGTGGAGAAATTGGCGCCCACATGTTCTGCTGGTGCAGCCACTTTGGAAAAGAGTCTCGTGATCCTCAGATGATTAAACACAGAGTTACCACGTGAACCAGCCATTTCACTCCTAGGTGCATAACCAAGAGAACTCAAAACATACGTCCGCACAAAACTTGCACACAAATCTTCACAGCGGCATGAATCATACTAGTCAAAAAGTACGAACGACCCCAAAGTCCATCAACAGATGGATGAATAAAATGTGGTTTATCCATACAACAGAATGTTATTCACCCATAACAAGGAAGGAAGTACTGATACACGCTACAACACAGATGAACATTGAAAACATGCTAAACAAAGAAGCCAGACGCAAAAGCCACTGATTGTATGATTCCATTTATACGAAATGTCCAGAGTAGGCAAATCCATAGAGAAAGAAAGTAGATAAGTGGTTGACAGGGGCTGGGGGTGGGGGGATGGGAGGAATGAGAAGTGACTGCCAATGGGTCTGGCGTGTACTTTGGGGGTTAGGAAAATATTCTGAAATTAGACAGTGGTGACCGAGGCATGACTTTGTGAATATATTGATGCTGAGAATCATCGAGTTGTGCATTTTACAATGGTGAACTTTAGGGAATGTACTATCTCAGTAAAGCTGTTATTTAAAACAATGGTTTGAGATGCTCTATAGACTATGATCAAGATCAGTAACACGGGACACAAGTAGAGACAAAAAATTAAGGGGAGCAGGGAAGAGCAAGCCACTCTTGAGTAAGGAGGAGAAAACACTTTTTCTAGGTAAGGGCCTGGCCTGCATTCTGGCGTTCCACTTGAACTTGGGAAAATGAAGGCATTTTGGGAGAAGACTGTAATTTTAATGTTGCCTAAAGTGACAGTGTAATCATACCAATATCACGAAAATATTAAAAACAGTTGGAATATAATATTTAATGGCAGACGGTGAGATCTAGAAATTTCTAATATAACGCGAGCCTGGGAACCAAGAATTAACCGTGTGCCCCCCTGCTCTTGGCTGTCTGAGTCACGGTGTTGAAGTGCCCTTCCGCACGCACGTTTGATTTCACGTTAATCACACATCGCGTTGCTGGTTCACCTCGTGGCTTCTGGCCAGGCATTCAAAACTCACCTATAAAACAAAAGGGTGGGGCGTTCTTTCCTGTTCTAAGGTCTATGACCTGACTTAGTTCAACCCTGGATCATCTGAGGCACAAAAGTCAGTTTCTCTCCCTCTGTCCTTGAAGGGTTTGTATTTCTTTGTAATGGCCGCACATTATAAGTCTGAAATAACAGGCCGTGTCATCATTAAATGACACTTGTTTCAAACCCCAATGCAATTTAACAGGGCACTAGACTAGGCGGTAGAAATACGCAGAAAGGAAAGAAGCCAATTTCATGTCCTTTGATGCTTATTCAAACGTCCCCTTTCTAAAGAGCCCGGAGCCCAGGTTTAAAATTGCAACCCAATGGCCACACCCCTTCCTGCACTGGAGATTGCCTCAACTCTCCTTTTCTTTTTCTATAGCACTTACTGACTTCCAGTAGATGATATAGTTTACTAATTTATCACACTTATGACTCATTGCCTGTGGGAGTGCATTTCTCCCTTATGTGCCATGTACCCAGCACTGTGCCTGGCCCAAAGTAGACACTAGCTATCGATTTGTGGAAATAAGTGAGTTAATAAGGTATGGGCTCGCTTTTCTGGTTGTTGTTCAACAACCTGTGTTTCTATGGAAACCCACACCAGACTGGGGGGTGTGTAGGTGTCCACATGCGTTTAACTAGACAATATAGAAAGATGCTATAACACAGTGGTAAGAGCATGGGTTCTGGACTATGAGTCCACCTCACCTGAGTCTGAATTCCAGCCCTGTCACTTGTAAGCCTCAGTTTCCCTCCCTGCTAACATGGGCATGGTAACAAAACCTACCTCATATTTTTTTTTGGGGGGGGGGAGCTGTGTGTATGTAAGAATTAAATAAGACAACACATTTAAAATAATTAACATTGTGTCTGGAATGAAGTATGCACTCAATGAATATTAGCTATTATTATTAATGCAAAAAGGGGGGGGGAAAGGAAGGCAGGCAGCAAAGGAAATAAGAAGCCCAGCATCAGTCCCAGAACTCTGGTGCTCAGAGCCCTGAAGCCCCTGTATGCCCCACGGACTGTCAGAACAGCCTCCTTGGCCGGGACATGCTTCAGGGCCTTGATAGAGGTGGCTTATACAGTGTGGCATGTTCCATGTTTCTCTTCATAAGCTTCCTAGAAATACCCAAGTATGTGCTCAGACACCAATTTATTTCTCTCACTTCCAATACCCTGTTTCTTGCACCCTGTCATCATCTCGTAAGATGTTTGGATTGCTCTGAAAGTGAGCGTGTGTGGGCAGAGTTCTTGGTACCAGAGTTTAGGCAAGATGACAGAGATAGGGAGAGAGTCCACTCTCTGTGGGTACTACCTTCCTCCTTCCCAGGGGAGCTCCGATTTTGTCCAGGAGGACTCACGTCCTGCACGATTCCAGAGAGCCATCCTCATTCGTCCCAGCCAATCAGCACCAGGCTCCCCCTGGCAACTGTCACTGCTCTGGGGAAAGGGACTGGTGCACATGACATAGACTGGCCCCATGAGAGCGAAAGGACACGTGCAAGAGTCTGTGGCTGGTCAAAGACGGCCACAGAGTCGTTGTTCCTCCTCCCGCTGAGAGAGAGGTGGAATGTGATTCCTCTCCGCTTGAATCTGGGTTGGCTTTTGTGACTTGCTAGACTAAGACAATGTGCTAGAAGTGACACTCCTAGACTTCTGAAGCGGAATCCTAAGAAAGCTCTGCAGGGTCTTGGAACACCCTCTCCGGGACCCTTGATCAAGTTCAAGGGACGAGCCCAAGTCATCGGAGAGCTCCGCTCCGGAGTGGTCACCTGGTGGGGCACCATCTGTGGGTGCCCCAGATGACTGCCCCAGTGGAGCCACCTCCAGTGAGGGGTCAAAGCTGTGAGGAAAGTCACCCGGGACCCTTGGGACCTGCCAACTACCAGCCGAATACCACTGAGGGGCTTCCATTCATGCAACGTGAAATAAGAGAATTGTTCAGCTGAACTTTGCCAAAATTGCCAACCTGCAAATCTGTGAGTTAGAGTACAACGTTTGCGGTTTTGAGCCACTAAGTGTTGCAGTCGTTCTTTCTACAGCACTGTCTATTATCCACTGTATACGAGAAATGTGCAAAAACACTCATGCTCGGGTGAGAGATTTTTCTCCCTCTCTTTCCCCCTCTGTGAACAGGGAAACGTGTGGCCGCAGCAGTCGCCAGCAGAGATTTAGCAACCTTGCAGGGCGGTTCTGGGGCTGGGAGACCTAAACTGAAAACACCTGGGCCCCTCATGACATCATTGATCTAGTGGATCAACTAGTCCCGGAGCCTGTCCTACCTCTGAACTTGTCGCCATATGAAACAATGCACGTCCTCACTGTTTAAGCTAGGTTGTGTTGGAGTTGGTGTCACTCGCACAGAAAGTGTCTTTGACTAAGAACCAGTGCAGGTTGGCTGCACCGGGCTAACATCTGGAGGCCCTAGCCCACTCTGGTCCTGTTTCTGCTGCGTGATCTTAGAGAAGTCATTCAATCTCTCTGGACCTGTTTACTCCATCTTGAATGTGGGGAGAATGTTTCCTGTCGCTTCTTATGTTGCAAGATGCCTTGGAAGAGATCCCAATGGGATGCAAAGAGCCTATGGAAACCTGAGGCGGTGTTGGGATTTGTGCAACATAGGCTCTGCCCTCTTGGGTCTTAAACTCTAAGAGGCTTTGCAACATACTTTTATGAACATTATTATATCATTCGAGCCTTGTGTCAACACCTTGAGGGGACAGGTATGGTAATTCCCATTTTCGTAGATAAGGAAACAAGGTCATGTAACAGTTGAGTGATACAGCTGGGGCTTGAACCTGTGTCATCTCATTTAGTCACTACCTTGCCAAGTAACTAAAGTGCATCCATCAGCAGCCCAAAAATATTGATTTGTCCCTACATCATTGACACTGCAATGACTCAACTTATCAATTTGCTTATCGCACTGATAGCTTCTGTTAATAAATGTGATTATGTCCAATTGTGTTTGTTGAGCTAAAACTCTCTTTTTTTTGAGACAGAGTCTCACTCTGTTGCCTGGGCTAGAGTGCTGTGACATCAGCCTAGCTCACAGCAACCTCAAACTCCTGGGCTCAAGCAATCCTCTTGCCTCAGCCTCCCGAGTAGCTGGGACTACAGGCATGTGCCACCATGCCCGGCTAATTTTTTCTATATATTTTTAGTTGTCCGGCTAATTTCTTTCTATTTTTAGTAGAGACGGTGTCTCGCTCTTGCTCAGGCTGGTCTCGAACTCCTGAGCTCAAAGGATCCGCCCGTCTCAGCCTCCCAGAGTGCTAGGATTACAGGCGTGAGCCACCTCGCCTAGCCTAAAAGTCTCTTTATGCTAAGTTTGTTTCTAAAAATAATTGCTGTTTAAAAATGCCTATAAGGCACATTCTCCTGCCTAGTACCCTCTCTTCCTTTGAGAACAGCACTTCCCACCTCCTCCCCTGAGCCTGGCAGGAGCGGCCTTGCTCTTATGGCCTCCTCCTTCCCTCCCCTCCTTAGATCTGAGGATGGACATCTGACTTGAGCCAATCCAATCAGAGTCCCACCTTGGGATTTTGCCAACTTGCACTGAATGAGGGAAACAGTCTCTCAGCGAAAGCTGCAAGATGTAAAATTCAAAGGCCAGTGAATGCTCGTGTTTCCTGCCAAATGAAGAAAACAGAGCTGCCATGCGCGAGGAAAACAGTTCCACGTGTGCTCTGAAGATGGGCTATGTCCTCTCCATCCTGCCTCTTGACAGTCCATTCTTTCTTTCTTTTTGTTTGTTTCCTGTCTTTGCCCCAGGATCCTTCCAATACATTCCTCTGGATCCACACTGGTTACAGCTGGAGAGCTGCTCCTTGCAACTAAAGGTTTAGCTCCCAGCTGGGCGTGGTGGCTCAGGCCTGTAATCCTAGCACCTTAGGAGGCGGAGGCGGGAGGATCGCTCGAGGTCAGGAGTTCGAGACCAGCCTGAGCAAGAGCGAGACCCCCATCTCTACTAAAAATAGAAAGAAACTAGTCAGACAACTAAAAATACGTAAAAAAAAAAAAAAATAGCTGGGCATGGTGGTGCATGCCTGTAATCCCAGCTACTCAGGAGGCTGAGGCAGGAGGATTGCTTGAGCCCAGGAGTTTGAGCTGGCTGTAAACTAGGCTGATGCCACGGCACTCTAGCCCGGGCAACAGAGTGAGACTCTGCCTCCAAAAAAAAAAAAAAGCTTAGCTCCCAATCCAGAGGCTAAGAGGTCATGATAAAGAGTCACAGACACTACTGAGATGGGACAGTGATCAGAGCATGGGTATATGCACATGTTTAAAACAGCTTGATGCTTGTAGACTATCTTCCAGCAAAAAATTTTTTGCAGTTCTTGACGATGTCTCAATAAACTTGAACAAAAGGTCCAGTTCCCCCTTGTGGAATTCCCATCTGCTCAGGTGGTGCCAGTTCCACTAGAGGCGGCTCACAGAGCAGAGTCCACCTCTGCCAGCGCCAGAGGGGAGAAGGTGGAAACTGCTGGAAGGGAGAAGCTTCACCTGGACTCAGGGGCTCGTGTCAGTGTTAAGAGGAAGCCTTGAAATTCTCTGGAAAAGTCAACAGCAGATGCAAGAGGACAAAGAGGGACTCAGAAATGTTACCAAGCAAAAGATCCAGAACCAGTTAATCAGTGTTCAGAATGAGGGAAGAAATCTAGAAAATGTGTGAATCATCTCAGCCTAAAAAGCTTTTCTTAATTGTCATGATTATTTGTCCAACTTCTATAAGGCATCTGTGTGATCAAACATATCAGGAGTGAAAGAAGAGAGACAGGATTTGTTCTGTGTGTCTGTTGACTTTTTAGAGTTTGCATGACTCAGGGTCCTAACAGGACGCACAGCCACGCTGGGGGACCGGAGAGAGGTTAAGGCTGGAATTACGTATCACAGGATCGGCAAAGTTCAGGGAAACCAACAAGGGGACGTGCACGACTTTGGGGCCAGCGATGGTGGGAAGGCTTGGCCCCCACAAAGTCAGAAGGCGCCTGGCGGGGGGCAGAGATGGCAAAGGGAGGAAACCCGGCCCACATTTGAAGGATGTTTCCACCCTGGAGAAAGTGTTAGAGGAGGGATGCTAGCCCTGACTTCCCACCCAGCTCTAAACGCCTGTTGCCCAATGGCTTTGGGACGTCTACCCCTCACGCCTGGTACACCCAGACCAGAGCGTCCAGTTCTGATCCTTCGCTGGCCGCATCCTCCTGACGCATCGTCCTGTTTCTCTCCTCCAGGTCGCCCGGGCTCCAAGCCTGGGGGCTGCTTCCACTTTGCTGTCTACACTCACGCCCATCTTGTCTTTTCTCATTTTCTTCTACCTGGACGGTTGGCGTCTACTCTATCTGGCATTGCTAATCTCTTCCCTTTAGATGTTCCCTGCACAGCACAGCCTGATTAATCTGTCTGAAACCTACCATGCATCCCTCGTGATTCACCTGCCCAGTTCTGAGCCAAGCCTGCCTCTCATTGTTCCCCAAATACGCCCCACGCTTGCCCGCCTCTGTTTCTTGGCTAAAACTTTCCCTTTGCCTGGAGAAGGGGCTCCCCTTCCTCTTTTTCTCCTGAAGCCGGCTTAGCCTTCTTGCATGCTCCCAAATTTCGATCTGTCTCTCCTCCCCTCTCCCTAGATACCTATCTCATCCTACTTTCTACAGCTGCAATTCAGGGGCCTGGGCTCTTTCTTATTTTCCTTACCACACTGTACACCCGAGGGCCAGAACCATGCCCTGCTCATTTCCGTAGTCGCCCCAGTACCGGGCCCAACAGCTGGCTCACGGCAGGCGCCTAATCCCTGTGTGCCGAATGAATGGATGTGACTATCGCCTGGGAGGTTTTCCAAAGGCCATACGTACAATATATTTCTCAGTCTGTCTCTCCTGTCTACATAATGATACGAATCAAGGAAGGCCCCACCGAGCCCCACGGTGATTGTGGGGCGTATGACTAATCCTACAATACCCTGGAACTGCTTTATGAAAGCACCTTTCAAATGGCTTTATAGCACATCCAGGCACACACACGGTTGGGAATAGATATCTAGAGATTTATTGGATCATTAAATGAACTAGAGGACAATAGGCATTGTGTTAATCACACAGGGAGAGGGATCCAGGGCACCCAGACCATCTCCGAGGGGAAAAAGCAGCCCTCGGGCCCCGTGTAATCTACAACTCACCAGAAAGGACCCCACGGGGCATGCGTGAGCCTCCCCTCATTCCCCGGAGTCAGCAAGAGAGTCTGGAAGTCTTAAGTCCGAGATGATCCACGTGGGTCGGGGAGGGTGGGGGTGGGAGAGGAGAGAGGAATTGTCAAAAGTGCAGTGATTTAGTGTCTGTCTCTTTCTTCCTCGCTCCCTCCCCCCCTCCCCCCTCCCACCACCCAGCCTCCTGCACAAGGAGCCATTGAGAAGGGCCTGAACAAACGCTCCCTTATGCAGCGCCCAGGCGGCGTCTCTCCCGGGTTGCCGGGGACAGCTGCCTGCAGCACGCTATGGTTACTCATTACCCGGTTCCCAGGCAGGAAAAGGAGCAAACTTAATAGACCCGAACTAACCCTGGGCTCAAATACTCCCGCCGTAGATAAATAAATAAGTCAGGTGTAGCAGGGGAAGGAGAGGGAGGTGAAGGGGAGGGGCGGGCAGGGGGTGGCAGGGCGAGAGGACTAAGGCGGAAAAATCTGGAGTTTCTGAAAGAGAAGGGAAGGATGGAGGGAGGGAGAAAACTCCCTTTGGAGAAAGGACAGAGGGGTGTTTGTGCTGCTTGCCCGTCCCCGCCTACAGCGTGGACTAGACGCTCTGTTGGCCGCTTGGGGACCTTGCGGAGAGCGAGGACACTGAGGGGAAAGCAGAGAAAGCCGATTGCTCTGCTGTGAGATGGGGCGTGGGGTTTCCCGTCCTCCTGGCTTGCCGAGCGGGTGGCTGAGGCCACAGTCGTCCCAGCTCCCGAGGAAGAGATGGGAGGACAGGAATGGACAGACAAGGCAAGGGACTAAGAGGCGGAGGGGTGACTGTGGGCAGGAAGCCAGTCACACCCCCACATTTTGAATGAATCCATGTGAGGGGTTCTCAGCTGGGGCACTTTTGCACCTCCCCGCCAGGAGACAACGCCAGGGCATTGTCTGGAGATGTCTTTGGTTGTCACAACTGGGGGACCAGATCGGTGCTGGCATTTAGTTGTAAGAGGCCAGGATGATACTTAACACCGTACCATGTCAGGGCAGCGCCCCATAATAAAGAACGACCCAGCCCCAGATGTCACAGCGCTGAGTTGAGAACGCAGCCCCGGCCACCCCTGATTTTGCAGGTGGCATCCGTTGGTCTGTCGCAGTTCCATAAGTCCACCCGCCCTTCCAGGTGGGCGATGGAGGGAAATCACAGAGCTGCACAGACAACAGGGCGTGGACAACCTCCTTTCGACTAACTCTGTGGCCACGAACGCAGAGCAGGCACGGCCACCAGCAGGGAAGGAGGGTGGACATCGGTCAGGTCAGCGTGTTGGGGGTTTTGTTTTCTCCCGACTGGATTTGCTAGCTGGGTGATTTTACACTAGAGTCTCGCCCTCTCTGGGCCTCAATTTAATAAAGTCAACGAGGGCAGGGACAGTCCCCAGTCACCACCTCAGGACCACTGCACAGTCCAATAAGCTCTTTCAGGAATTTAAAGTCCTCCCAGAGGAAACTTCCGCAAGTCAAAGCGTGACCCAGTGACGGTGGCCCAGTGCACAGTTAGTGTGGACAATACAGGATTGTATTGTCCTGGCTCAAAGGCCAGTACAGGATTATTTTCCAGGATGGCTGCGGCAGCCAGGTGTTGGTGGGTGTAGAGCAACCCTCCAAGTATTCCCAGGAAGCCCACTGGTCCTTCCACAGCTGTCCCGGGGTAGAGAACCTACCAAGGGTCAATGACTGCTGCCATCACACCAGTTCCTTGAAAGTGTGTGTTGGGGGTGGTGATGGGGGAGTTGGGGAGGGATAATGTGTGTGTGCATGTGGTGTGTGCATGTGTGTGATGTGTATGCACGTGTGATGTGCAATGTATGTGTGTGCCCATGCATGTGGTGTGTACATGTGTTGTGCATGCATGTGTGCACCTGTGTGGTGTGTAATGTGTGTGCATGCGTGATGTGTAATGTGTGTGCATGTGTGATGTGTAATGTGTGTGCATGTGTGATGTGCAATGTATGTGTGTGCCCATGCATGTGGTGTGTACATGTTGTGCATGCATGTGTGCACCTGTGTGGTGTGTAATGTGTGTGCATGTGTGATGTGCAATGTGTGTGTGCCCATGCATGTGGTGTGTACGTGAGTGTCGTGCGTGCATGTGTGCACATGTGGTATGTGATATGTGTGCATGTTCCTGTGTGTGTGTCCATGTGGCATGTGTGGATGTACATGGTGTGCATGTGTGTCCATACCAGCTGATCATACCACAACAAGACCACGGAAGATGCCAGAGATAAGACTGCCCTACGAACATCTGATTGCTAGGCAGCTCTGAGGAGGCAGACCACCACCTGGAGGATCCGGGAGGAGGCTATCTGAGTTCTATTCTTGTTTCTGCTACTTGGGAACTACCTGACCTTGGGCCAGGTGTTTAACTTCTACAAGACCCAGTTTTCTCATCTCTGTAAAGGGGTAATAAAAGTGCGCCCCTGTGGGTCACAGGAATTAGTGAATCCAGGTAAAGCACCCAGTGCTGGGCACAGAGCAAGCACTCAGTGGATGTTGGCTGCTCTGATTATCACTGCTTCAGGAGATAGTTCTTCCTTGAGTCTAACCTAACGCTGCCTGCTCCCCACCCCCCTACCTCCCAGAGGACTCCATTCTCTGAGGACGGATCACAGAGTTCTCTGGACTTCATTGCCCCTTGGTGGAGATGTGGGACCTCCACCCTCCAGCTGTCCCCGTTCATCTGGCTCAGACAGGAAGCAACAGGGTGAACTGATCACCAACACGTGGCCTCCCATGTGCCTTGGGGACCCCAGAGCTTTCCCTGGTGGCCCAGCAGACTGAAAAAAGACTGGGGGTTCTCCCCTCACTCCTGCAGCTGACGCCTATGATGCTTTCCCTCCGAGAACCCCCATGCCTGCCCACGTCATTGCCACACTGAAGCAGTGACAGGGCCCTGGAAGTCCACTGCCACGATGAAGCAGCGACAGGCCCCTGTGGGCGTGCGGTCGTGGCCTACCCTTCACAACCGGTTTGTCAACGCCGCCCCACCCCACCCTTCCTCGCTGTTAGCTCTCTGCTTGCTTATCTGCCGCTGGAGACAGGAGTCTCAGTTTAATGGTGGCAAATTAATTATTGAACCCCACAGCCAGCTCCTCCCCATGCACTCGGCAATCCTCCCACCAGCGCCGGGGCCGACCGAACTCACTGTCTGTCGGCTCGTCTTTGGGTGAAGGACGTGACCTTCCAGGGGACCACAGCCAGCGCCACGCCCAGAGCGGGACCGGAAGCAGCTGCAGGCAACTGTCCCTCCAGGGAGCCTCTCCAACCCTCCGTCCCCACCTCAGCGAGGAGGCGTCTCTCTAGCGACACGGCTGCATTAAACTCTTTCCGTGTATAATAGACCCATCAACCGCGCTGCGCCCACAACTCGCCGGCGTCTCCCCCCAGCCTGCGAGCACCTGTGCCTGCTCAGAGCAGACACACGTGCTCAGCGTGGAACTAATGCCTGACACAGGCGGTCTCCTTTCCCAGTTGGATCTGTTTCATTGTGCAACGGCTGATACATACAAAGTAACACATGCACCGCGTTCGCTCTGGCATCCCTGATTGCGCTCATGTCTGGGGCACTGCTGTAAGCACTTCCTCCTCATGACCCTGGGAAGCGGGTACAGTTGCCACGGATGGGTGCGTCACAGAGGGGGCCACTAAGGCACAGAGAGGTTAAGTCACTTTCCCCAAGACCCCAGTGAATGGCAGACCGGGACTCCAACCAGACGGGCCCCCCCGGCCTACGCAGCACGGCACGCTCTCTCACCAGGCTGCTGCCCCCATGGGAAGTAGCAAAATAATTACCTGGGATGCACCACCCAGGGTGCCCTGCGCCTCTGGCTGTCTGGACGCAGGGTCCAGACTGCACCCCGTGACTCCACGGAACCGCCTCTGGCTCTGCTCATGCAGCCCCGTCGGGGGGGCCTTGTCTCTGCTCCCCAGAAGGACAAACAGGCTGGATTCTGTTTATTATTCCCCTTGTTTCTGTTGTGGCTTTAATATATATATGTGTGTGTGTGTCTTTAAACAACATGAAGCTTGGCTTTATTTTCGAACGTCATGAAAACATCATCCTGTTGCATGTCGTCTGCAATCCCCCACCCTGCAGTCAGGAGCACGTTTTCCCATATTTTCCTCTCCACTCCTCCAGTGTTTTCTCTTTGCCTCAGCACTTGTGGTTATCATCTAAGCCATTTTAATTTACATTTAAGGACATGCTATTTGTGAAACGTCGTAGAGTTTCTAAAATAGTTCTCCGCCCATCGTCTCTTTTTGGCACATAACCCCCTTCAGTTTCTACCCGGAAGGTTCTCTCTCTAAAATGAGGACCATGAAAATGGAACCCAAATTTGACAGAGGGTTTCTGGGCACTTCTGGGCAGCCTGGGAATGTGGCTGGGCGCCGAGATCAGTATTTCCAGGATGTTTCGTGGCCTTGGGGACAGCCGCACAGTACTGCAAGGGGGCTAAGAATGGGCTTTGGGGTCGGGCTCCCCTGGGTTTGAATGAATCCCTCGTGTCAACCAGCTGTTGGCACAATCATGAAACACCTGGACACTCAGTGGCTTGCAACAAGCGGCATTTATCCCTACAGCTACAGGCCTGCAGCGGACTGTGGTTCTGAGGTTTAGCATGGACTCGGCTTGGCAGCGCGGCTTGGGGTTGCCTGTTGGGTGAACTGAAATTCCAGGCTACTCATCATCTATCTCTTGCTGCATAATAAAACTACCCTAAAGTTTAGTAGCTTAAAACAACAGTGATGATTAATTTCTTGTGATTCTTTCAGGGTGATGGGGCTAATCTGCTGGTCTTTCCTGGGCTCACTCACGTGGCTAGGGTCCAAGACCTCACCCACCTGTCTGGCAGTTGGTGCTGGTTACCCACTGGGGCTCCTCGTTCTCTTCCCTGTGCCTCTTATTCTATAGGAAACTCACTTCCTCACACTACATTGGGCTCAGGGTTCCAAAAGAGCAAGAGTCCAATACATGAGGTCTCTTAAGGGCCCTGGGACCCATGCACTTCACTTCTGCCACATTCTATTGGTTACAGCAAGTCACAAAGTGGCCAGCTCAGGCTCAGAGGTGCACAAAGGGTGGAGAAATAGACTCCCCTTCTGGATGATGCAAGCGACAATCCGATATTACAAATGGACGTGAATTCCGGGTGCTGGGATTCACTGGGGGGCTGGGCAGGGAGGTGATTAGTAACACAGCCTGCCACAGCTGGGCTCAGGTCCCCTTAAACTTTTCCTGGAGCCAAGACTGAAGGGCCTGTGGTGACCTGGGACAGGCAGCCACAGGAGCCCAAACCGCACCAAGCTGCACGAGCACCTTGAAGCCACTGCTCCTGGGGAGCTCACTAACATTGCATCAGCCGAAGCAAGGCCCACGGCCAAGGCCAACACCACGGCTCAGGGATACTGGGAAGGGGTCTGCGTGTGTATGTGTGAAGCTAAATGATAATTCAAGCTATAACAGCCCCGCTGTGATTTCCAATATTTCGTTCTCCCATCAAAAACACGGAGTAACTCCTCCCTTGTGGGGTTGTTTTAACGCAAGGTAACCAAACCATCCCTGTTTGCTGGCTTTAGCGCCGAAATCTCACATCCCAAGAAACCCTGCAGTCCTGAGCAAACAGGGATGGTTTGGTTGCCCTATTTTGAGGACTAAGTGAAATCCTCCCAGCGCCCTCCAGCTAGGTGTCATTATTATGCCAGGCCCCACTCCACAGTGCAGAACTTTCCAGCAGCCCCCAAAACAATCAACGGAATAACCAATATTTAAACCCGGCTCTCCAACAGCGCGTGTCCCACACCTGTTTCCCCCAAAGCCCTTCTCACTTGAGGGCCTCCCTCCTGGTCTTTATAGCAGCCCCTGTGGAGGGCAGCCAGTGCTCTGTGGAGAGAGGAACAGAGACCCAGAGACGTTAAAGGGGACATCTGCCCACGAGGAACATGGAGTCCTCGGGTTGGGCTGGAGCAGAGGGAACACAAGGAAACAGAAGGGTTAGCCTATGGAAACGCAGGGGCTAGCTGATGGAAACACATGGGGCTAGCCTATGGAAACATAGGGGCTAGCCTATGGAAACACAGGGGCTAGCCTATGGAAACACAGGGGCTAGCCTATGGAAACACATGGGGCTAGCCTATGGAAACACAGGGGCTAACCTATGGAAACACAGGGGCTAGCCTATGGAAACACAGGGGCTAGCCTATCGAAACACAGGGGCCAACCTATAACCAGGAAGAGCACTGAGAGGCAGGGAGCAGGGTGCCCGGCAAGGCCACCATGGGTCCCGGCTGGGCTTGGCTGAGAACCGCCAAAACTCAGCCCTGAGCCTCTCACCCCGACTTAGGGCCTTGGGAAAATGGCCCACACGTTCTGACCCACTGTAACTGGATTCCAACCCTGCCCTGGCCTCTGACTCACTTGCTGTGAGACCTGGGGCAAGCTGTCCAACCTCCCTGGGCCTCAGTTTCTCTGTTTTATGAGTCATTTCTGGGACTTTCTAAGAATCACTGGGAACGTGAGCCAGAGAGATCTCTAGAGACAGGAGGTGTCGTGACAGATTCCCTGGTCGCCACTCTGCAGGTGAACCCCCAAAGAGTGGCTTGTTATTATTTTCTTAAAGAGTTTCCATAACGAGGAGGTGCGTTGCAACGGAAGAGTATTGGATTTGGAATCAGAACTCCAGGTTCTGGTCCCGATCTGTTGCCTAAACAACACCCATCTTCCTGAAGCCACGGTTTCGCTCAGGTGTGAGCCACAGTTCTTGGCTGGCACCTCTCACCGGTAGTCGGTAGTCGGGAGGGTGAGGCCAGCCAGGAATGCGACCGAGCCCAGTGCCCTGGAAGGCACATTTGCACCTGCAGGGGAGAGGGGCCGGGCGGGCGACCACTGCGTGGACGTCAGTGAAGGGGTGCGTGAACTGGTTGGACGAAATTGGTGGGGATGGTGGTGACGACGCCACGAAGCCTCCAAGACGTTCCCCGTTACCCTCCGGGAGTCCCCACTCTGAGACCGGGGACCACCACTCCCGAACCCGTCCCGGGTTCTTTTCTCTTCCGAGGGCATCCAGAGGACAAACACCTTCTGATCGGAAGGTTTCCCAAATACTCCACATCTGGAAGGAGCTGTTACAAACCCCCCCTTTGTGTGGCTGGGACCCCCCGGGCTGGCAACAACACGGGGCCAGCCCCCCGCCGGGCCGGGAAAGGCCGGGGGACAGAGAGGGCGAAGGCGGCAGGACGGAGGGGCCCGGGAGGAGGACCCGTCAGAGCGAGGATGCCCAGGGGTTCGTCCCACTGCAAGGGACGACAGGTGACAGCCATCGCTCACCCAGCACGTCCCACCTGCTTCACCTACAGCGCCCTGCTTACGTAAAAGAAAGTTTGAGGAAGGTGGGTCTGCAAAGGTGCGGGGTGGGATACAGACAGAGAGGGACCGAATAAACCAGAGGCATGGACGGAGAGACGAGACACTCGCTCAACACGGGGGAACATTTTTCAGATCTTGATGGAGAAGGTAGAAGAGCAAACCCCATGTGAGTGTTGAAGGGGAAGCACCCCGACTCCATTTCTAACTGGCCTCATCCCCCCACTGCCTTGGAGCCACGTGTTTGGAAAGCAAGTGGTCCAGGTGTCCTTGCAGAAGCCTCCTGCCCCCTCATTCCAGCGGGTGTCCGTGTGACTGTGTGCGCATGCCCCCAGGGCTCATGGGACCTATAAGGACAGACCACGGAATGCCGGGGTTCTTTCTGCCTCTCCCGTGACCAAGCAACGCTCTGCCCTCGCTCACCTAGTGTACCTGCAGCCCCGAGGCAGTCTGAAAACACGACAACAGGAGACCCCCTTGGTGGAAAGTTCTTGGGGGACTGCAGGCCTGCTATGCCGAAGTCCCTATCCAAAAGCCAGGAACAGAGAGCCATATGCTGCTTCTTTCAAAACGTATCTGAAAATTGGCCGGGCGCAGTGGCTCACGCCTGTAATACTAGCACTCTGAGAGGCCGAGGTGGGAGGATCGCTTGAGGCCAGGAGTTCAAGACCAGCCACGGCAACATAGTGAGACCTCATCTCTACAGAAATACAAAAATTGGCCGGGTGTGGTGGCACACACCTGCAGTCCCAGCTACTTGGGAAACTGAGGCAGGAGGATCACTTGAGCCCAGGAGTTTGAGGTTGCAGTGAGCTATGAAGATGCCACTGAACTCTAACCTGGGCAACAGAGCAA